ATCGACCACAACCTATTTTACGATGAAACGGACAACACCTCCCCTATATATATGACTTCACACAATTCTAAACAATCACCAAACAACCCAAACAACATCAATAATAATCATATTGAGCCTCCCAAAAGAGTCCACGCACAACCAAATCACTTCATACATACGACGGCCACCGTAGTCGTGTCAAACGACCCGGAAATGTTACGAAGAACTACCAGCCCACAACCCTACATCTATATGGTGTTTCTCCACACCCTTCCTCCTCCAAAACTCCACAAAACAGTAGTAAAACACGCAGCCCAACAGCAACACAAAACAGTCCACAAAACAGTCCGCTACAAGTGAATAACTCGAACTCACGGCTTCCGATCACCGTCCCGTGAGTTCTTACATGTATAGAACGAATTACCATGAATTCACAGCTGAATAAATGTATGAAAGATAGTAGTAAACTCACCTTACTTGTTGGATAACTCAGCCATTATCTTGGTTCTTCAAACTCTATTACCCCCAATTTGAACTTGAAAGAGAGGGAAAATCAATTAGGGTTTGTGGATAATTTTTGGGAGGAAGTTTGCAGGGGTTTAGGTCTGGTTATTTGTGAAATATAATGAGGGATATATTGCAGAAGATAAGCCTTTTAATGGGCTCTTTGTCTGACCCGAAATTGCCTCTTTTTGGGCTATCATTTAACCAAGTAGGTGACCCACCTACTTGTCACCTAGCAGCTTGTGCAGTCTCGCAAAAATGTCTATATCTCTCTACTCCAATGTCGTATTGATAAAAGGTTTAATGCGTTGGAAACTAGACTCATAGATCTTCAATTTGGTGGGTAGATCACCCCGTAATTCCAAGTATATTGGGAGAAAAGCGTAATAACATTTGACCTAAAGTTTAAGTAAAACTATGAACTTAAGTTGCAACAACTCTAGTCGACTTTTGTTTCATAACTCGTTTGACTTCAAGACTATGATACGGATATTTTATGATTCATATACCTTAAAATACGACCTCTTGAGAGTATTAAGCACCCCTAAGTTTACCCAAAAATACGGCTGACAACATCCTTGATTCGTTTAACTTCTAATACTTGTTAACCACCCTTATACACCTTTGTATCATTTAAGACCAATAGGATTAACCTCTTATCATCTCAAAGATAATCTCTTCATGGATTTACGTCGACGACCTTATGGCATGAACTAACGTATGTGAATATGGGTTGTAACACCGGGGCTCCAAACTAAATATACACACAACCTCAAAAATATCATACGGACTTATTCGCGCAATCAAATCCCCAAAATAACATCATAAACATCGAATTAAACCTCAAAATCCATGAATTCCTTCAAACTTCGTAAAACATCAAATTTTCCAATTTAGGTCCGAATCACGTCAAACGACGTTCGTTTTTCACCAAATTTCACAGAAACGTCTTAAATCATATATAGGACCTGTACCGGACGCCGGAACCAAAATACGGGCCCGATACCATTAGGTTCTAATCAAATTTCATTTCAAATTTCCTTAAACAATTTCAGAAAACAATTTTTTTTTTTAAAAATTCATTTATCGGGCTTGGGACCTCGGAATTTGATTCCGGGCATACGCCCAAGTCCCATATTTTCCTACGGACCTTCCGGGGCCGTCAAATCACGGGTCCGAGTCCGGGTCCGGGTCCGTTTACCCAAAACGTTGACCGAAGTCAAATTAACTCATATTATAATCAAAACTTATCATTTTTCACAAATTTTCATATTTAAGCTTTCCGGCTACGCGCCTGGACTGCGCACGCAAATCGCGGTGATTCTAAATGAGGTTTTCAAGGCCTCGGAGTCATAGAATTTAATTTAAAACAAGTGATGACCTCTTGGGTTATCACATCTGCCTTGACCATAACTCTTGTTGCCGATCTTGATATTCCTCTTGAAAGTACAACATACAATTGTTCGTACAAGAAAATATATTGCGGTAAATATAGTCCAATATTTAGGATTTTGTCCTTGTGCTTTATTTATTATATTTGCAAAACATAAACATACTAAAAATTATTTTCACACAAATTTAAAAGGATATTCCTTAGTTTTGGAAGACAAAAGTTGAATTCAGTGATAATAATATTCTTAGAAGCACATTGACCAGTATCATCATTTTTGCATGTATGACGTTATTGTCAAAACTTCTATATACCATCTGTGTGCTATTACATAAGTTATTCGGCGTATCTAAGTTTTTCAGTAGCATGATTGGCATATTTTTCTTCAAAATTAACCTATATACAATGGAAGATCAATTTTTAATTTTTAACGTAGTCTATTATGTATGTATGTATGTGTGTGTGTGTGTATATATATATATATATATATATATATATATATATATGGTGACACTAACATACGTAAGAAATAATAAATTTGACAACAAACATGTATGGTAGAAGGCCATTTGGTATTAAAGTATTTAAGTATTCCTCTTGGTAGTAATTATTGGTATCATTTTCTGTTGAGTCAAAAGCTAAAAAATATTTTATTTTTTATTATAAAATTTTGCAACCAACCTTTTATTTAGTTGATCAATATATTCATTTCTGCTTGCTAAGATATCTTTTAAATTCTATCGTGCGACTTGATCAATTAAACGCATTACCATTACCATTGGGATTGATAACCAAGTATTCGGGAATAACCAAATCATCTTTTATTGGATGCTATTCTTCATTTCCGACACGAAACAAAAAGACACTGAATACTGGATCTGTCCTTGCTTTGTATTTCTTGTCAGTTGAATCTTTTTCATTTGAGGCCAGAAGTATAACTTTGGCAAGATAGCTTTTTGAAACTACTGCTAGTACTTGATAGAAATCACCTCCCAAACCATTAATTTTTCACCAAACGGTTCATTAATATCCAATATATCTCTAGAACTCTAGGCAATTATTTCAATCGTTTGACACTTAGCCATAAGTGCTTCATCCCATATTATCAATTTTGCTTTCCTTATAAATTTAGCACCATTACTCTACTTTGATATATTTGTGATGGTTATTTAAGTTGTTTGAAAAGGTATATTAAATCTAAAGTGGGTGGCCTCACAATAAAATTATTATTGGTACACCACTTGCTATTATTGTTAATAGTGTCATGCCTCTTAATATGATATTTGCAAATAATACATGACATAGAAATACTATTTCGATTTCGTCGGAGGCATTTACAAAGAATACTCCCGTTATACCAGAGTCGACTCTTTATAATATAGTCTTGAAATCTTGTTCTTGATTAGGATTTAGCTTTGATCGTACTTCCTCAGACACTTGTATAGCATTTTGATTCTTAATAATATACTATTCTTTTTTACTTTGTGTTCTAACGCTCTTTTTTATGGAATAAATTTATGTACCCTAAGATTTTTTTTTAAATTTGAATAAGAATTTTACTCATATGATGAATTTAAAAAATAAGTGAATTGGATTCTCTTGCTAAATAATTAATTTAAAAATTTAATTATTTGGCTTTAACATAAAAATAATTTATTTTATGTTGATTCAGATCTTAATATTAGTTTATCTCTTGTTTTACTATTTAACCTTAATTATAATTTTATCCACCATAAATTTTATTTTCAAAGAGTAAAAGATTGATATGCCATTTCACTTTTAAATCGATATGTTTGTAGAATCATTAGTGGTATTGACTCTTACCAACCATTTTTTTTCTCTTTATCACACGTTTATATTCTTAAATATTTTCTTAATTGTTGTTTAATAATTTGGTATTTTTCAATATTACACGAAAAATTGATTAAAAAAAATATTATTTGAGTAGAAAAATAATTTAAATATAAAATAAAAATAAATTAACGTGGATGTATCTTTTTCTCAAATTCAACTCTTTATGCAGTCCATTTAATTTTATAAAACTTTCCTACATATTTTTAATAAGAATTTAATAGAGAAAATTTTATTCATTCTTAAATTTTAAATATTAAAATTTACTAGCATAGAAGGTATTGTAGTCCAAAAAATAGGTTATTACAATTATGTTATTTCTTTATGAGTTCTTCTGCTTAATATTTTAGGGCTATTTTGGTATATTAACATTATATTTATGCTTTTAGAATAATATAGTCTCTCCTTTTTCTAAATAAATTTGGACAATACAATACATTATCAAACTAAATTAGTAATATGACATTATAATACGTTTTTAAATGAAATTAGTAATAATTTTTTTTTTAAGAAGTATATCTTAAAAGTAATATGATTACATGACTAAAAATATTTAATCGTATAATCTTTGATTGTATAATTGACCTATATTACGTCATACATGCAAAAACGTCACGTGCCATCTATATGACCTAACGCATGAAACGAGATTCCGAAATATAGGTCAATGAAAGGATATATATATATATATATATATATATATATATATATATATATATATATTGGTATACCCCTCTTCGATTAAGTTGGTATATATATATATACCAACTTAATCGAAGAGGGGTATATTTGAACCAATAATATTACGTCAGGGATATATTTGAACCAATATTATTACGGCAGGGATATATTTGGACCAAAACTATAACGAGGAGTATATTTAAACCTTTTTACATAGTACAGAGATATATTTGGCCCTTGACCGTTACAAGTATTACTAGATATGCAAATTAAGTGCAATTGAAATTGTAAACTGTAGTTTAATATTTTTTCTCAGGTACACAAACTATAATAAATACAGATTATTTTATGATGTTTTAATCCATTTTTTATGCTTAAATAAAATTAAACAAAACTATTAAGATTTCTTTTTCAAGCGATACTTTTATAAGCAATAATGAACCGAATCGTCCTTCGTCATACGAAGAGGTGCAACCTCTAAGACGTCACTGGGAAACTGGTAATTTAAGTGACTGTTAGGGGTAAATTTGGAATAGTAGAAACCACTATTTGAAAGTCAACAAATTCCCTCGGCTCTCTGGCATTTTCCTTTAGCGCCTTCTTTTTTGTTGATGTATACTTTTACTCTTCTTCTTCTTCTTCTTCTCACAAATCACAATACATCTCTCTCTCTCTCTCTCTCTCTCTCTCTCTCTCTTATTTATTATTACCATTCCGATTCCGTTACACAATTCTAATTGACTAAAGACTCAAAAGGGAAGTGTAATTTGTGATGGATTCGACGGCGAAGGGTCGGAGAAGGGCGTCGGGGAGGTCGTCGGTAGTAGAGTCGATAAGAGGTTGTACGTTTGCCGGAGTTAGAATATCGAAAGAGGAGCTCCGGAGGAGGATCACGATGCCGGAGTATTTAAGGGTGGCAGTCAGGGAGGCTATACAGAGTAAGGATGTAGACGCTGACACTGTAAAGCGACATTTCGACACGGCTTATGCCCCCGGGGCCGAGCCTCCTCAGCCGCCGGAGGGGCCCATCGTCGTCTTCATTAATTCTAAAAGCGGTGGAAGACATGGCCCACAGCTTAAAGCTAGGTTGCAGGAACTCATGGGTGAACAACAGGTCATCATTTCTCTTCTCCTTTCTGCAGTTAAAGGCTTCTCTTTTTATATATATATATATATATATATATATATATATGGAGTTCTACTATAGCTATATAAGTTATGATTTTTTTTACTAGTATTACACAAGGAAGTGATGCATACTTTTTAATCTTTCAACTTTTTTGTATGAGGTCTTCCTTCTTCACTTCTTTTCTTAAAAAAAAACTGAAAAAGAGTTTTTTTTTTCTTTTAACAATTTTTTTGGAACTGATAGGGGCACTATTGAGTTGGGACATTGGGTGTACGCACCAGAATTTTAGTTAAGGGCTGTCAAAATATATAAAAGTAAATATACCAAAAAATTAAGGGGAGTGAATACATAATATATATACATATAATTATTTATTTTACCTACCTACACAATATATTTTTCGTGTACGTGTATTATGCCTGTTATATTATATTTTTAATTTTTTTTTTGTAACTACTTGCGCGTATGTTATAATTTTTTTTTGTGCTAATATGATTTCTACTTGAATTATGGCAACATGTTTTAAGTTGTGAAGAGCACCTTTTGGGTAGTGTTTGCTGTAAATTTGTCATGGCTATGCTGTATGTAGGAGCTAAATTGGGCAATCACGAAAGCAAACATTTGTGTAAAACTTGGTTGTCATTTTATAAATTCAGCTACTAGTAAGTGCATCGAATTTTATATCCACAATGTTGAAATAAGGAAAATAACTAGTAACATTTGATAGTTTTAGCTTGTTGGCATAATTTGGTAGTTTATATGAGAACATCCAGTTTGATAATGATATTGTGTAAATTGATGTTGAATTTTTAATACTGTATCAAATGGTATTGATTTTCTTATCCCTTTTTCTGTATCTTTAATTTAAAATGTGCCAGGTTCTTGACCTTTCAGTTGTGAAGCCTCATGAGTTTGTTCAATATGGATTAAGTTGCCTGGAGAAGTTTGCTGCTCTTGGCGACAGCTGTGCAAAAGTGACTCGTGAAAGGATAAGAATCGTGGTATGGATATGCTGTTGATGTCATTTGGAGTCTTTTTCAAATGTTCAATAGTAGATTCCAAGTGCATTTTTCTGGCATTTTAGATTTGTTATCAGGAAACTATTGCGAAAAGGATGTAGTTTAATCGAGGAGCTATTTAATTAAATCTGGTTTGGCAGGCAGCAGGAGGTGATGGCACTGTTGGATGGATTCTTGGCTGCCTTGGAGAGCTTAAGAAACAGGGTCGAGAGCCAGTTCCACCAACAGGAATTATCCCACTTGGCACAGGAAATGACTTATCCAGGAGTTTTGGTTGGGTAAGCTTCTATGTGCATCAATTTCCAGCTCTTGCTCTTGCTCTGTCTAGCTTTTCTGAATTTCCTTTAAATCTTCTTTTCAGGGCGGGTCATTTCCTTTTAACTGGAAGTCAGCCACAAAAAGTATTCTTGACAGAGTTGCAACAGGTCCAATTAACCATCTGGATAGGTGACGTCTTTTGCATAGTTCTTGATAGCATATTTTTAAGTTTCATGATAATGCTACTGCTTTTACATACAAGATATTCAATTCAATTGCTGAAGATTGTTGAAGTTCTATGTCGTCATTATGATTTTTCTTTCTGAAATCTCTGTTAAAAAAATCATCTAAAATTTGAAATTTGCGACCAAGTTTTTTGAAGAGATATTACTTCCTTGTATTTGCTCCTTGGTGCCCAAGAATGGCTTCCTTTTCTTTGTTTGAACTTTTATTACTTGTCAATGTTTCCTTTCTCCCTTTCCTTGTGCAAGTAAAATTTCTGCATCAAAATACCAGTTAAAGGATGTCAATATGCTCCTAATGAACTCATGCTTTTAGCAAACTTAATGATGAATTTCTGGCACTAGCAGGAAATATTAATTTTAGGAAGGATATATCTCATTTCTTCTTTCTTCTTCAACTTCTATCTCAATAGTTTGTGGCTTGTTTTACTCTGAGCTTCTTAATGAAATAATAGCATTCATTTGCAGTTGGAATCTTGTAATATCAATGCCCGCTGGGGAAAAACTGGAAACACCTCATTCCCTGAAACCTACTGAGGATGCATCTCTTGATCAGGTCACTCTACATTCGTTTTACAAATTGTTTAGCTGATATATAGACATGCCTTATCACTTTTGCTTTCTAATTACCTTGGTGTTGCATCTCAACTGGAATAAGTATTGTTCCACTATTTTGTGGTTGACTACATGTATCTGCTTCCTGCATTGAGCTCATGGAGGGTCTTAGTTGTTTGCCGCTACTCTAATATCTTTCTTCATTATTTCCTCTTTATCTTCAGTTAAATGTACTTGCCAAATGGTCATTCAGTCAACAAATTGCTGTAATGAATTTTATTTAATATTATGTTTTTCCTTTTTCCTTAATATGGCAGATAATAAGCATGCCTAACTTTTCTTTTCTGTTTTACCGATTTTGCTGTCGTTTTGTTGTGCAGGAATTGGATATTGATGGTGAGTTGCCCAAGAAATTGTCCAACTATCAAGGAGTATACTACAACTACTTTAGCATAGGTATGATGTTAAATAGGTCATTGAAGTAATTTACTGTCAAGACTCATCTAAGTTAACTGATAGCTTAAATTGAAAGAGAGCATGATACCTGATTAGTTGTGTACTATCTTGGAAAAGCCTTGTATATAGTCTACATCATTATCATTTATGTGAACTTTCAGATCTTAACCTATAAAGCTAGTCCATAATGTTTCATAGCTACCTGCTTATTCGTGTCTTCTTTCCATCTTTATCAATTAGTGCTATTTTAAACTGAATGTAATGCCCTTACTTGGTGATGCTTCTACAACTTCTACAAATATCTACACAAAATGATTTTGCTATAGGCCCCATTATCTAGTCTCTTTCTTTTGGGGTGATTTATGTAGACAGTATTTTGATTTATTCTTCTTCTCGGTATTTCATTTTCTCGAATCTGTTATGATATTTTATTCGGACTTTTCTAATGCACTTACTTTTACCTGCAAGTGGGCAATTTATTTATGTACAGATACTGGTTTTGTTTGCTAAAGAGTGAAAACCTTGCCGGAATGAATCCTATGTTAGCACTTCTCTTATGTCTGCAATTTGCTTAGATATGTAATTCAAGGGTCTTCAAGGTCAACTGATGCTTCTCTTATGGTCAACTGATGCAATTTGCTTAAATCTTGTAATAATGAAACATATGGCTTTAAGGGATTTCTTTTGCTTTTCTTAATCTAAGTACAACTTGTCCGGAACTCCATTTCTACTTTCAATCTGTAATTTTTTTACTCTTTTGTTTGTTTGTTTGTTTGCTTTGATAAGGTATTTTATTGATGTTAAACCAGCACTAAGCAGTTGCTGCAGAAAATGTTACAGATAGTGCAGCTCAGTGATTCGATGTAGAATAGCATTTACATCATGTACAAGTACCAGTCTTCACCAAAAAGATAACAAAAAGATAGACCTGTGTTTAAGCATTTTCCTTTTTGCTTCAAATTCCTGTTTTCTTTCCATCACACTGCCCCAAATTGCAAGTGGAACTGAGTTCTATATCCTTTTTGCCTTTTTAGTAACTACCTTTTTTGTACCAGCATCTTTAATCTGTAAAATCTTCTTATAATTTTAATCAGGAATGAAAGAAACAACTCTTCGTGTCTACACACCAAACCTTATTCTGCCTTGAGAGAAAAGATTTTAATTAACAAACTAATGAGGGTAGAATAACCAACAAGGGAAATCAGAATCATTCACTCAGTTGTTACAATCATTTTCCCTTTATTTGGCTCGCGAGATTTTAAAATAAAGTCTGCAATAAATTATAACTATAACTTTCAATGCAGGAATGGATGCACAGGTGGCCTATGGCTTCCATCATTTACGGAATGAAAAGCCATACCTTGCACAAGGTCCTGTATCAAACAAGGTTGGTGCCTTTTGTTCCTTGATCATAAGGAATCTCTTGATCTTTGAGAAAGTTTTATGTGGATTCTAGGAGCAACGGTAACGTTGCCTCCGTTTGACCTATTGGTCACATGGTCGAGCCGTGGAATCAGCCACTGATTCTTGCATTAGGGTAGGCTGCCTACATCCCACCTTTCATGAACGTGAGATGGGTCGTGCACCGGGCTGCCCTTTTTTGAAAGCTCGGTAGCTAAACAAATAAAGTTGCTCCCTCACACATGTAAATAGATGGAACTATGTGTTAACAAAGGAACAGCTGAGTAGTAGGATTTCATTTATATTTACTGAAATTCAATTGAAGCACCTTGCACTTAGAGGATCTTCTAGTGTGAAGTGATGAAAATGGAATAAAGACTAAACTGAGTACTTTCTTGTTGTGCCTTTCAAATTGAAGAAATCCACTGTCTGACATTTTGTTGAGCTCTTGAGAAAGTTTTATGTGGATTTTTTTCTCAAAATTACATTGCTTTGAGATGGTTTAGAAGAAATTTTTGGGGAAAGATTGTGCTGGATGCTTAAATGTAAAATGTAGTTCACCACACTTCTTCCTTGAGCTGAAAATACTCTTTTTCAACATTATGACTGATAAGCATTGGGACTTCATATTGGGTCTCTAATTGAAATAGAGCTCTGAAGATATTTGCAGTCTTCTATATCCATTGATTTTCGAAGCTGGATGCAACATATTTCTCTGTTGTAAAAGAAATATCTGCAATCTTCTAAACTCCACACCAAAAACGATAACAAAAAGAGTACACTCTTATTTTAGCCTTAAAATATTCTCAAATCTGCCTTCAAAAAGTCTGTTCCTTTCCATCCACACCACCCATTGGATACATGCAGATATATACTTCCATACTGGTTTGGATCTTCGGTCACATCCTCTTCTGCTCCAGCATTGTAGTAATTCATTTGTGGGGAGACCCAAAATTTTGATCCTTATATCCTAAGACCACTACTGGGTGTCCTGTGCTTGGGAAATTCAAACTTTTGGGCTTCCCTTGGAATAGGGAACTGGGGTATTTACGTAATTTCAAAAACTTCCAAAGTCTTGTTGTATGGTCCTGATGCTTTTCTATCATGAACTTATTTGAGATATGATTGCACGGATATGATTGCTAGCTGGTTTATTGTCTTTATTAGTTGATGGATATTTTTCTGCTCCTTGACTGAAAGTGAATTGCCATCCTAGGATGTGTTATAGCTGCTTTTTCGGTTTGCTACTTTGATTTGTCACTTTGAATCTGCATGTATAGTATTTTTGAGATTCATATAGTCAACTGATATTTAAACTTTACCAAAGTGCGATTATTTAATTTCAAGGGACAGAAGTTCTAGGTATTGACGAAGCATTTATTACAGTTGATTTACTCAGGATATAGTTGCACGCAAGGTTGGTTCTTTACACCATGTAGCAGTGACCCTGGTTTGAGGTTAGAATATCTTACTCAACACCCGTTTGATGCCTGATGCCTTTTAGTTCATCCCATTCTGGTAGTTGCCACATGCTTACCAAAAGATGTTTCTTATGTACCTTCTTATGTTAGTTGCATGCATAAACATACAACTTTTTGCACCTCTCTCTTGTCCAGTATATCATAGATTGGTCTCAAAAGCTAGTAGGTTGTGTTAAGAGATTAATTAATTAGGACTCCAAGAGTCCACCTTCAAAAGTCTGCGTAGATTACTTTAAACATTTCAATTAAATTGTCCCTTCCCTTGGTAAGACCCGAGTCTTGCACAAGAGAACCACTTTATTTCATGTTCCAACAATTAAACCACAAATGCAGTTTTGGCATGAAGATTGACATCTTATTAAATTCCCAAATTTACTTCTCTTGCACGTATTCGTATACTGAAGTTTAGCTGTGAGATTCTTCATCTGATTCTTACAGCGTGGCAATTGTGTTTCAGCATAGTATGTGTTTCACTTGTCAATTGTAGCTTGTCTAATTGTTTGTTGAAGCTCTCACTAGTGACATCATGCTTTCTGCTCTTTCTTTTCTCATATCTTCCTGATTACCGATTGATTGCTTATCCTTAAATTAGTATAAGAGGATCAGCATGGACGATGAGAAACTCTAAGACGAATGCACTTTAAGTTAAAGTAAACTATCAGCTTTTGTGCTGCAAATCTGAGAACTAAAAAATCTAATGCACCAACAACATTAGGTGTATTAGACATGAGAACTGCTAACTTTCTTAATCAGAAATTAGAGAAGAGTAGTGCTCTATCCCTCAAACACATCGCAGCTTTTATTTTTTAAAATAGATGTAAATTCATTCTTAGACCAAATGCAAAGGAAAATCTTCACTATTTGAAGCTAGCAAAAAGTATTTCCCCAAGGATCCAAGGAGTCCAGAAGAAAACTTCGTGATAAAAAACTTTTAATAGTCAAAATGTTTTCAAATCAATCTCAAAGTGAATGTGTGCTTGCACTTACGAAGTTCACTAGAAATTGTTTGCCATGTGTTGTTACTTGTTTCCCTCTATATACGGATAACTTAGCATTGATCTGGAAGTTTTTTATTATTATGAATGGTCATGTATTTGGTGTGATCTCAAGTTTTTCTTTTCATTTCAGGAAAGATATCAGGAAATATATTTTTCCCTTTATTGTTATTGTAATTGTTACTTCAGAGTGATTGTTTTTAAAGTTGTTATACTCAATCGTGCTTTTCATCTCTGATATATTTTTTCTCAAGATGCTGTGCTTACTTTTATTGATGCAGGGGACTGAATAATATTTTGCGACTATATGTTAAGAAGGTCAACAGCTCAAAGTGGGAGCAAGTCCCTGTTCCTTCAAGGTTGATTTTTGTCCTGTAGTCTTTATTACTTTTTTTTTTTTGGTCATCACTGTAGTCTTTATTACAGTCTTTACTGCTTGCTGTTATTGCTATTGCTTCTTTCTCATTTTCAACCTCTCTATCCCCACAAGGTAGGGGTAAGGTCTGTGTACACTCAGGGGCGGATTTAGGGGGCGGAAGGGGGTACCGAACACCCTTCGCCGAAAAATTACACTGTATATACAAGGCAAAATCTGTTTTTTACCTCTATATATTAAGTTTTGAACTCCCTTAACACAACTCAAAAGTGTAGTTTAGTGGTCAAGGGAGTTAAAAACCTTCAAAAGGTCATAGGTTCAATTCCCATTAACTACAAAAATAATTTTTCAACCCCCTTCGTGGAAATTCTGCCTCCGCCACTGTATACACTCTACCCTCCCAAGCCCATTTGTGGGATTACACTGGGTCCGTTGTTGTTGTAGTAGTAGTGTTTATTACAGTGTTGTACTTAATGATTCTGCCTCCGCCACTGTGTACACTCTACCCTCTCAAGCCCATTTGTGGGATTACACCGGGTCTGTTGTTGTTGTTGTAGTAGTATTTATTATAGTGTTGTACTTAATGTCCATCATGTAATGCGGAATTGCCACGATATCTTACTATTTTATATCTCTTGTTATTATGATGTTTTGACAAATAGTCAATTATATTATTTTGTAATATGGAATATAGTGCTAATGGACTGAGTTTTTTACATGCATCGATTTTTTTTACTTATGCGTTCATTTTACCTGTCGTTCTATGTTATTGTAGTGTTCGGTCTATTGTCACTCTGAATCTCCCTAGCTATGGCGGTGGAAGGAATCCATGGGGACATTTGAAGCCACAGTACTTGGAGAAGGTATTCTTTTGTAGTTAGCTGTGTGGACTTAGTGGCTTTGGCATATCACACTTCCATTTTACATCGGTCCTTTTTCATCCACTCTAATTTACACTATTTATATAGAGATCAATTTGAAACTTATTGCACTTAAATTTGGCCACAGGTAGTTATGAATTTGGGAAAATAGACTTCTTTTTTGAGATAAAGCTCATGATTCAGCAATTAAGTTAGTCATTTATGAAACCAATGATAAAATAGGGTTATTTGGTTGGATATTGCCTAACATTTTAAATAGAAAGTATTAACGGTTCTATTTAGGTTGTCAGACAAATAACTCTACAAAATGTCAGTTTGCAAAAGTTCTGAATATGGTCCATATATTTTTTTTTAATTTATAATAATAGCAATATTATATTAATATTAAGATGGTCCATATTCTGAAAAATATTAAGTTTTATCCCCATTTGTGGGAATACACTGGGTTTGTTGTTGTTGTACTGTTTGTTGTATAGTTCTGTGATCACCGAAAATGATGGAGCTTCTAGTCACAATTTTAGGTTCTGTGAATTGTGTAGTTTCTCTACTTGCAACAAATAATTTGAGCAAAAAAGCCCAAGGCCCTAATGATGTTTTTCTCTCAAGGTTTTTCAACTTCTAATTTTTAAACCTAACAAAATTAAATGGCAGTGTTAGTGCAGTATATCATATATTCTCAACTATCATGCTTTATCCATACCTAGAATGTGGTTGTGATAAACTTCAGAATAAAGATAGGAAGTTGTAGCCGCTTTTCACATCTGATTTGAAGATGAAAGCTAACTTATAACATACTACCAACTGTTATACGTCATCAAGAGTAACAATCCTTTCTTTTTATTTTCCTGTGAAATCATAGAGGGGTTTTGTGGAAGCCCATGCAGATGACGGCCACCTTGAAATTTTTGGCCTGAAACAAGGATGGCATGCTTCTATGGTTATGGTTGAGCTCATCTCTGCAAAACATATTGCCCAGGTACTATCAAGATCTGATAAAAAAGAATTAGCTGCCGCTTAGAGGCAATGAGTTTAGGTGTGTGTTAATTACTGAATATGTGTCCTCTCTGTTTCATTGATCATGGTAATCATTACATGCATCGCTTCACAGAATTTCCAATGAATAAACAAAGAGGAGGGGTGTAGCGCTAGTTTCCTTCCTTTCTCTACTAACAGAAGAAGGGGGTGCGAGTCACACATTTAATGTTGTAAGTTCAAACGCACTGTCTAAGGTTAGGCCCCCGCGTCTGGCAATTGAGTTAATGTTAGTACTATTGTGTTCAAAATCAGAAAATCAGATAAGCAGACAAATGTTAGTTCAAAAAATAAATTGTAAAATAATTCCGAGCCCACTGAATTCACAGTGTGTCCTTAAGGAATTTAATCCCCTCACTGTTGCCCAAGATATACGGATTAATTCCTCCTAGGATAGAACGGAATAACTATTCTGTAATAGCGACACTACAAATCACAGAACTTCAGCGAACTCAACAGACGAAGCAAATCACACTTGACACTTGTAATTATTTGGAAAATAATGCAACAATATACGAAAGAGGGGAGAAGTTTTCAGATTTTCCATGTCTGAAAAATGAGGCAAAGCCTCTAAATTTATAGACAAAGGAAGGGTGAGATGGAGAGGTGCAATCCAAAATGTGCCTCTTCCGTTTCCCATTCACACCCTTTGAAGAAAAAACGCAACAATCCCCCACATGAATGGGGAATGGGCATTTGTGGAAAAACATGCATGAAAATACTGTGTGATTCGCAAGTAAGGTTAATCGCATCTGGATAAGTAGGTTTCTCTTCGATCTTTCCGTAGTGAACTTAAGTCGGATATACTCGGTCAATCGGTAGATTTGATATCTTTGAAACCGTCGAGCTTTGGTGTATACCTAGATAACCATAAGTCACACAATCAATCCTTAACCGTCTTAGGTTCTCACGGATGTGTTCGTTTCAGCCATGAACACCGCCTGATTTCATGAGTTCTTAGAGAATGGGCCTTTACTTTCATTCTGCTTAAAGCGGCTTACACTTCACACTCACATAGGTGATTTCTAAACGTGTAATCCTATAGACACACTATTTGGACATATCCTGCTAGACTTAGCAAATCATTAAAAAGCTTTAAGCTTTATTGACTCATCAAAAAGCCTTAATGCTTTACCTTGATTTCTGAACATTGTCTTCATCACGAGAATGGGCTGAGTTATTTGACAATGTTGAACCGTCATTCATAACTTTGTTTGATCTCTTTGAACCTAGCTCTTGGGATCTCCAGTCTGCTAGGTAGAATTACCGCCATGATGACTTGTCCTAGGCCTTAGCCCCATTCCCTTCGATGATCTTTCAACTGCCTCTCTAGATTGGCCTTTTGTAAGTGGATCCGACACGCTATCTCTTGACTATGTAGTCAATTATGATAACATCACTAGAGAGTAGTTGTCTAACGGTATTGTGTCTCCCTCGAATGTGACGAGATTTTCCGTTATACATAACGCTCCCTGCCCTGCCTATTGCCGCTTCACTATCACAATGTATACATATAAGTGCCTAAGGTTTGGGCCAAAATGGAATATCTTCCAGGAAATTTCGGAGCCATTCAACTTCCTCGCCGGCCTTGTCTAAGGCTATAAACTCAACCTCCACTGTAGAGCGGTCAATGAACATTTGTTTGGACGATTTCCAAGATATCGCTCCTCCACCGACTTGTTTAGAATTGGTTGAACCGGTGATCTAATTTGCATCACTATACCCCTCTATTATCGTGGCATACTTATTGTAGTGCAAAGCATAATTTGGAGTATATTTCAAATACTTCAAAACTCGTTTGATTGTCATGAAAGTTCAATGCAAACTTTCTTATGTCGTAGACTAATACGTCTCGACTTTTGATTGCATATCAGATTATTGACTACACTTAATGTAGTAATAGTATATTATAGCAACAGATGGAATGATTGGCATCAGTTGTGGCCACAACCTTTTAATATATAACACATTTCGCAATCATTCTGCCATTTTCAAGCATTTGTATGCTATTTATTCATACGTCTATATGATATGCAAATTATAGCACCTTCATTCATGAAATAAATCCAACTTGGAATGGATTTTGGTCATGTTCATCGGTTGGTTCACCTCATTGTAGACCAACATATTAATACATTTGTTCATGAACAGTCATGTTTATACAAAACATGTAAATGCACTTTTCATGAAAAGTCACAGCCTTCCAGGTGACACCCTTTCATAAAAGAGCTAAACATTATAAATGTTCAAGAAAGAACAAATCATTTCTGGAAAACCACGTAAACAACTTTCGAATTTATAGTTTCATCATTAATCATCACTTAAGACTGAACAAGTAATGAATTCACAGACTATCATATCAATATCCACTAAGGATTGGTGGGGTTCAAAAATTTTATCATTTAGACATTACGTCTAACATTCGATTGTGCCATGCATAAGCTAACCGCCCCCACATATTAAATATTTCATTAACATATCATCCACATATAATCAAATAATGACTATATGATTTGAAGTATTCTTAACGTAAACACATTTGTTTACACTCATTAATTTTGAAACCATTTGACAATATTATTTGGTCAAATCTGGCATGTCATTGTTTGAGTACTTGTTTTAGTCCGTAAAGTGACTTAACAAGTCGACACACCTTCTTTTCTTTTCCAGGAACCACGAACCCTTCAGGTTGTTCCATATAAATTTCTTCCTCCAAATCTACACTTAAGAAGGTTGTCTTTAAGTCCATCTGATGGATTTCAAGGCCATACACGGCGGCTAATGCTATTAACACTCGAGTAGATGTAATCCTCGTTACCGGCGAGTATGTATAAAAATAATCAAGACCTTCTCGTTGTCTAAATCATTTGACAATTAATCTTACCTTATATTTGTCAATAGTACCATCAACTTTCATTTCCCTTATGAAAATCTACTTAGAACGCAAAGGTTTATTGCCTGGAGGAAGATTAACCAATTCCCAAGTATCTCACTATTGACTACCTCTTTCTAACATTGTGCTTTCGAGCAAGAGTTGCTTCTTTAAATGTTTGAGGCTCACTTTCCAACAAGAATATCAGAAAATCTGGTCCAAAAGAAGTAGTTGTCCGTTGACGTTTACGACGTCTTGGATTCACCTCATTAGGTGTACTTCTCTTTGCTTCTTCTCGAGGTCGCTTAGATATTTTACTAGACGACTCACATTCCTTTTTATATGGATAAATATTCTCAAAGAATTCAGCATTATCTGATTCGATTAGCATATTAATATGAATGTCGGGATTTTCTGATTTATGAATCAGAAAATGATATGCCTTACTATTTGTTGCATATGTAATGAAAACGGAATCAACAGTTTTCGATCCGATTTATCCTTTTGGGTTTAAAAACTTGCACTTTACCCAAATACCCCCCACACTTGGAAATATTTCAAGTTGGGTTTTCTTCCTTTCCATTTTTTTCATATGGAATGGATTGTGTCTTGTTACGGGGAACGCGAATGAGTATTCGGTTAGCGCTAAGCATAGCTTCCCCCCACAAGTTTTGGGTAAACCAGAAATTATCAACTAGGCATTCATCGTCTCCTTTGACGTTCTATCTTTCTTTCCACAATTCCATTAGATTGCGGTGACTAAGGGGCGATCGTTTGGTGAATAATTTCATATTTCAAACATATTTCTTCAAAATGAGATTCATATTCGACGCTCCTATTACATTGTTGAGCCAACCACAAGAATTATTGTTTATGTCACGACATTGCCAGAATTAATAAATGGTGAAGTTTTTAATCTTCAAACCAATCCGACACATTTAGAATTAATAAATGGTGAAGTTTTTAATCTTAAAAAGAGTAACATCTGATACAACTAGATCTATTCAACGGTGAAGTTTTAATCGTTAAACCGAATAATATGTGACACAATCAAATTTAATAAATGGTGAAGTTTTTTAATCTTCAAACCGAATAATAAATTGGAGTAGAAAATCACTAAGATTTTAATCTCCAAAACGAGTATAAAGTCACTTAGACTTTAATTTCCGACAAATGAGTAGAAAGTCACGAAGACTTTAATCTCTACGAACGAGTAAAAAATCACGCAGATTTTGATCTCGAAGCAGGAGTAGAAAATCACGAAGGTTTTATTCTCCGTAATAACGGGTGTAGAAAATCACGAGAATTTTAATTCCCTTTCCAAATGATTTTTCTACTAAACCATTATAATACCTTAAACAGTTTGATCTCTTTCTCCAATCAAACACATATATGTTCATCTTTACATATATTATATTTACTATCTCAAAAATACTTTAAGTATTAGTGTAAGCCTCATACTTACAACTTTGAAAATAATTTTTCACAAATTCCAAGCATGCTACTAAAGTTATAGAAATAACCAATATAACCTTAGTTATTCCTAATTAATGTGCATGCAAACACAATATATATTTGAGATCATCACATAAATCATTTATCCTAACAGTTATGAAATCAGATTTTACAAACATCACAAAGGATAAATATATATAAATTATAAAGTTAAGAAAATAGAACCCGATTTTATTGCACTTCCTTCTTGGAAATTCGTTTGCAACATGTGCAACGGTTCATCACATCCCTTCACATATCAGCGCTTCCTTATTTGATCCAAAGGATTGTCCATTAATTTAAACATAAGGGTGTTTCCATCATCATTACACTTGAGATGCAAATCGGAGTTATATCTTTGGACTTCTTTGTAATATGCCTTCCTGTTGGATTCATAATTAAAGAGCCGCTGCTATTCTGTCAAACATCGAATTCAGATTCACGGCCTTTCATAGCCTTATAATTACAATCAACTTGGCTGCCTATAACCTTTGTTCCAATACTGCAAATGCACTTTGGAAATATGTATTTGTACGATCCGGCTATGACTTCTTGGAATCGAATGATCAACTATTTAGTTTCAATCTCTTCCACGTGGTCGGCCAAAGTCATTAGTATTCAACTTGCAATGATGATAATTTGTGTAAATATATAAATCACCAAACAACAACAAAGACAGTAAGAATATTTCGCTCAATACCATCCAAAACTAAGAATATTTCGCTCAATACCATCCAAAACTATTTGCTTCTGTTCATTATTCACTCTGAATATTCTCTGTATCAACCATCCAAAGACCAATTTTCTTTCACGTCTCGAATAGATGTTAATATGAACACAAAAAATAAATTTAAGTTAAATTCCTTAAGATTGTTAGTACTACTGTGTTCAAAATCAGAAAATCAGATAATCAAACAAACGTTACTTCAAAAAATAAATTGTAAAATAATTCCGAGCCCACTGAATTCACAGCGTGTCCTTAAGGAATTTAATCCCCTCACTGTTGCCCAAGGTATACGGATTAATTCCTCTCAGGATAGAACGGAATAACTATTCTGTGATAGCGGCACTACAAATCACAGAACTTCAGCGAACTCAACAGACGGAGCAAATCACACTTGACACTTATATTTATTTGAAAAATAATGCAACAATATAGAAAAAAAGAGAGAAGTTTTCAGATTTTCCATGTCTGAAAAATGACGCCAAGCCTCTAAATTTATAGACAAAGGAAGGGTGAGATGGAGAGGTGCAATCCAAAAGGTGTCTCTTCCATTTCCCATTCACACCCTTTGAAGAAAAAATGCAACAGTTAAAAGGATATCTGCAGACACCTGATAATGGTCTTTTTGGCATCTGAATGATACTCTCCTCATTTATTATTAGGGTTGAGAGGCCTGCTGTCCTCATTTTGGACAATAAACTCTAATAACTCCTAAATGCGAGCCCCCCAAAAAGAGGTACTTGAAATGAAACAGATAGCAGCCTTGCAAGAACATATCTGGTTCTATGTTATATGCACTCTGGTACACATCCAACACAAATATTTTCAGTTTTTAATAGGTAGTATCTTGAAGGATTTATATGCAATAGTGCAACCGCATTTTATCTATTCTACAGGGATTCGTATAGATAAAATAGAGTTTTGTGACAGATTTGGTTTGCATAGATACTCAGCTTTTGTTGATGAAATCTCAAAGAAAATGGAACACGAGGTGGTAAGAGGGAATGTGGTCGAGCATTAAGAGATACAGTAAAACTAATTGGCACATTTTGTAGTGCTTCTCAAAATTGACCTTGTATGAATTTTTGGACACGCGTTGATTTGAATATATTTTCCTTAAGGAGAATGTATCTTGTTTAATTGTGTATGGTTGAAAAGATGATCGACCATTATTTAATTTTTTTTCTTTTTCTGAATACTTGTGCCGCTTACTATGAAGTGATGCTTTGATGCCTATTCCATGGTGACACTTCTCATAGAATAAAGCAAAAACTATTTTAGAATCAAAATCTCTCGTTAGGACAAGATAAACTTTTACATGGCCATCCTCATGCATCTGAATTCCAACGTTGTTTAAACAGTAGACTTATAACTTTTTAGATAACATGCGCGGATTAAGAATATCATATGCTTATATGCCTGTTTCTTATCATTTTGGTAAGATCACATTTGTTCTAATGAGATTGTTCCTATAGCTATTCCTAGGTGGAGTTCTTGGATGAGGTTTAATTGAATTCATCCTTTGCTACTTTGTAGGCTTCAACAATTAGATTTGAGTTGCGAGCCGGCGAGTGGGATGAAGCTTATATGCAGATGGATGGTGAGCCATGGAAACAACCAATAAACAAGGAATTTTCAACCTTCGTGGAAATTAAGAGAGTACCATTTCAGTCTCTCATGGTCAACGGGAAGTAGAATTTGATCGTCCCTTTCTTGCTTCAGATCTTTTTACAATTGTAGTTTCCTATGTTCGTGTAAAGCAT